GGGAGCAGGAGGCAGAGCTGAAGCCCAAGGCTGAGGGGCTTTCACCCAGCTCCTAGAGCCTGGCACTTTGAACTTGGACTTCAAGACTCCAAATTGTAAGAATAAACTCCTGTTTGTTTAAGCCATCCCATTTGTGGTACACTCCTGTCAGAGTGGCACTAGGTAACCAGAACACTGATCGAAAAGATAAAGTATATTCAAACATTTTTAAGTCACTCCATGGGACCAATTGAAACAAAATGCTAGTCCAGTCTCTGGTCCCACTCATCCAGCTGCCCCACAGTGTCACAGGCAGCTCCCCTAAAGGTAGAGCCACTGGTGCCCACGTCACAGTGGTTCTGCTGCTCGAAGCAGTGGCACCCTCTCTCCGCCTCTCCCATCCCTACTGACTTTCTGTGAGAAACTCGCAGGGTGCTGTGTGTTTCTGTCTTCATGCCGCACAGACAGATGCACCTGGCAAGGTCTCAGGGACTTCGGGGCTGCCTGCCTCTGCCCAGCCCACGTCTGCATCCCAGGAGCCTTCCAGCTGTGTTGCCTGGACTGGATTTTCAGGTCACTGCTTCAGTGAGTACTAGCTCACACCCACGCACACACGGCTCAATGGATTCAAGGAGCCTGTGTTTGCCTCTCTTCTGTTTTACAACTCAGGTCTGGAGTCCCAAAAGTCCCGACTCCCAGGGAGGGGGTGAGCAGGGCAGATATCAGCCGGATGGGCACTGGGAGAAAGCACATGTCCCACTAAGTCAAGAATACAAGCAGAGGCTGGACTGGGTTGGAGCTTGGCTCCAGACCTAGGTGGGTGCAGCCTTCCAGGAGGTTCCCATGAACCACAGCCCCTTTCTCTGCCCCAGACTGCTCCATGAACACCCCCAGCCCCGCTTTTGCCCCTTCTCAGCGCCCTTCCAGCTCTGGGGTTCCACACAACTCAAGAAGGTCCTCATGGAAAACGAGCTGGATTGTGAAGAATGAAGGATTCACATTTTTTAAAAAAGTTTGTAAATGCACAGTTAATTTCAACAAAATATATATAGATACTTTTGACAAGAGAAAGTAAAACTGCTCCTCCGCCAGCCTCACACCACAGCCCACTGCCATCTCTGCGTGTTCCTTCCAGTTTCTGGTCCACACCCACCCCAGTGGGCGTGTCCTATGTGCCATCCTAAAGTAGTGGGAGGGAGGTATTTTCTGGGACCATTAATGGTTTACCGCCCCTGGGATTCGGAAAGGAATTCGGGGCCTCTCAGAACACAGGAAGATTTTATTTGTTTGATCGGATGGAAGGCCAGGACCCTGCTCCTTCCGGAGGTTGGAGTAGGGGTGACAGGTGACCACAGTCCAGAAACAGATTGGGTCAAACTCTCTCCCTCACCCCACACACCACCTGGCCTCTTCTCTCCCCTCCCCACTCCCGCCCCAGCACCACCCCGCAGCCTGCGTCCACTCAAACGCGCCTGAGCTCAGGTGCTCCGCGGTGTCCCACCAGTGTGACCTTGGGCAGCGCCCAAACCTCGATGGGCCTCAAGTTTGCTCGTTTGTATCACGGCCATGTCCATGGGGAGGTTTAATTGCGCCAAGTATTTAGCTCGCTCAGCCCCGAGCCTGACACGGAGCAGAGCTCCGCCACGCGAGGTAGCTGCAAGCATGGCTGGCTCCGCATGACCGCTGGGCCGGGGGTGGCTCAGAAGCCCGCCCTCCGCTCTGTGGCGCCAGAGGGTGAAGCCCTC